AATGTAACCGGTAGTGTTTATGATAAAAAATAAATAAATAATAATTATGTGATCGGTGTATCGGCCATCATGGGTGATCGGTATCGGTATCGGCAGGAAAAAAACTGATCGGCACATCTCTAGTATCAAATGTTATTGCTTGGTGTGGACCGATTGAAGTTTTCATAAAATCAGTATGGCTACTGATTTTAGCCATACTGATTTTTTTTTATCTGAAAAGTGAGTAGATAATAATACAGTGACAAAGTTGGCTCTGTATTGGTGGATAAGATTGCTTTTTCATGTCAGTATTGGCCAATCGCCAAGCTCCCAAAATTAAGGCAATTTGGAACAATTTATCGAAGCACCCATACCTACTAACTTTAACTCTCACTTATTAAAACCCAAAACGCAGCCTGCTCCAAACACTGTCCTTTTTTTTTTTTTTTCCAGGTAGCCATTCTTCTTTACGTAGCCGATCTCATCGTCCGTCTGATGTGGAGACGAAGTCTGGACCCCGACAACTTCTCCATCCCGTACTTGACCGCTCTGGGGGACCTGCTGGGAACCAGCTTCCTGGCCCTCTGCTTCCGCTGCGTCTCAATGATTCACAGTTTGGGCCTGTGAAGTTTTTCCCACTAATCCCTGAACAAACACTGAGATAACACCTGTCTTACTGCACCACTTTTTTTTCTTCTAAAGCAATTTTGAGAGTTTCTCCTGATCTTGATCACTGCACCAGTTCAAACTGAAGCGCTACAAACCCAGGCCTTTATTTTCACTCTCTAGAGGAACACCAGTCGAGTCCCTGCGGTGAGCGGTTGGCCTCAGTTTGGAGTTGGGTTTACAGAAAAGACTTACAGCTGCCATCTTTAGGCGGGCCGCTCTGTGCATGTATGCTGGAGGACATACAAGTTGCTACACAGAACAGTAATTGGATTGAATATGAGCGAAGAGTTCAGTTTGCATTATGACTCATGTGTCCCGGTACGTTAGGTCAAGTAGACGGGGATGTTTCTGTATCTCCTTTACAAGCTCTGATCTCATTTAAAAAAAAATAAATTTAAGAGCTCTATCATGACAGAAATGTACAACAGAAGTTATATAAAATGTATATAAAAGGCCATTGAGGAAGAAATATGAAATAAACCATGGATCATGTCAGATTCGTTCTTTAGTTGAAGACATTGATCACTGTTCCTTTTAATCTTTGTCCCTATTTGCCATCAACTTCATCTGGCTCTATTGGCTCCAGGCTCTACTCATTTTTCTGTTGTCATCCTTCTATGCTATATTTCCCTCCATAGTAACAACTTGGTTGAAATAAAATTCTTCAGTAGGTCAGACTTTTACTTGACCACCGTGTTTAAAATCCACTAAGTCGCCAACTTCAGAGTTTGTCACGCACTAAATGTTGCTTTTAAATCAGAGCCAGTGGTAGTTGTGACATTTCTGCGGTCTGTTTGTGGCTCTTGGCAGCAGCTTTGTGCTTCTCATACTGCATATGTCTTTCTACAACCTTAACCCCGTAGTGCCAAGCTTCTTTGCACAGAATGTACGGAGCATTGTAAGGGTTAGCAACAGAAGTGAGTCAATGGCTCACATCGTTCAGTCAAGTAGAGATAAATTTGTCTCCTAGCAGCTAGTTACTAGTAGCCTCAACCGTCTGGAGTGACAGAGTAGTCCTCCAGACGCTCTCACACAGTTTCAGGTCAGAGGGTAAGCGACCCTCCATATCCTCTACAGGAGTAGTCAACCACTGCTGAATAATCTATACCACAGTGAGAAGGTAAAACCTTTCTATAGACACAAAGAAGGAAGACTGATACGCAAAAGCTGTTCTCAGAATGGAAGGGCGGAGCAAAACTCAACGGAAGGAAACTTCTTGACTCATAAATGTTAAAGGACACACTCTTGTTTGTCACACACACCCTCTCAGTCACATGAAATGAAAAGTTTATTGTCCTTAGAGAACAAACAGTACACTAAAAGTCAAATCAACCACTTTATTTTTATCTGATGAAAGTGGGGATTTCTTCGTTAAGTACAGCTTCTCTAGTTTCTGTTCTCTTTGGCAGATTTATTTTATTAACAAGTTCCAGTGAAACTTTGAAGTTCACATGTTAGTGAACTTCCTCTGAAACCAGAAGCTGGAGCTTCTCTAAAAAAATCCATGTTTACTATCAGCCAAAAGAAGCAGGCAGAGTTCACCACTCCTCTGAACGTCTCCTTGGTAGCACCAAAAAGTGAGAAAGAATCTGATTGGATATAAAATTACTAAACAAGACAATTCAAGCTTATTTTACTGTACTTCTCCAGAAATCCAGTTCAAATGAACTGGACTTTCTAGGCCAACCAGTTCAATTAAAGTGGACTAAACAGGACTGGTTTGAATTCGTCCTTAATCAGAAGGAAGTCATGTTTTTGTAGAGTTTCTCCTTGTTCCAAACAAACCATGCTTCTATTTCGAAAGGTTTACATTGAAGTCATAAACGGAAGGCTTGAGGATTCAGAACAGGGTATTAGAAATAATTTAGCCTTTTCCCATCAAAGTGTAGCTACCAACAGAGCTTTGCTAAGACAACAATGGCCTGGAACTGAATTCATTTATTTTTATTCTCTCATTATTCTCTGTACTATGTAGAGCTAACCTTTTCCATTTCATTTAAAACACTGAGAAGTTCACCTATTTCACCATCATTTGAATATTTGATTTTTTTTTTTTTTGCTGTGATTTAATTAACATAAAAACACTAAATTAAGATGTTTCCAGCTTTTGTTTGAGTGTTGACATGGAGAGTTAAAGAAGCCTTGTAGTTCTGATTAAAATCTCATATGTTTACATACACTCACTTTCAAAGATACTCAGAAAAAAAATCCAAGCCAGTTCTTACTTGACAGTGCTGTGAAAAAGTATTTAACCCTTCACAGGTTTCTGATTCAGATGCTCCTCCACCACGGCTGAATTAGATGAACCTAAACTGGAACTAGGGCTGAGCGACAAATTAATTTTAGCGGTTAATCAAATTTATTTGATTAAATTTGATTTAATTGTAGAAAAATCTGGATTTTTTTTTAGACATGTACTCCTTGGGTTTCCGTAGTTCAGAGTCATGTGAGCTTCTGATTATTTGGAACTTGAATTCAGGTCAACTTACAGAACAGATGACTAACGCCAGTTTTCACAAATATTGTCATTTGTAATTTATTCTTGAGAAAAGAAGATGGGGAAAAAAACTACCAATTAAAATCAAAAATGTGGTATGGTTTTTCAGGTATGTTTGATACATGAAAAGTAAAAAACATTTTTCTATGTTTGATATGGCTCTGATTTTGAAAGTACGGTTCAAGATTGCCAAGAAATATGTTGTATATTTTTAGAAAACTTGTTTCATGAGGCATTAAAAACTGCAGAAATTTGACATCACACACCTTCCATATGTGTGGAGCATGTTGCAATTGCAAAACTGTTTGTTTTTTTTTGACAAAATTTTGCTCACATTTGTAATGGAAACACAGCTACTGATAATCTGCAGCAGTACTATGTGTGTGTGTGTGTGTGTGTGCGTGTGTGTGTGCGTGTGTTTCACCTAACCTCTTGTTCTGTGAGAATAAGAGTGGGGTCTTAGTTTCACTCTTATTCTGTGATAAATAGATCACTGCTATGTTGTGTTGTACCAGCATAAACATGTCTATAAACAGGGCTGGATGATTCAAACCTGAAGTTTATAATAGAATACCACCAAACAGTCATACAGGCGAACTGTAGAATTCTGGATTGTTCTGTTAGTCATTGAATCAGATGAGTTTTCACAAAGTTTTTTTTTTTTTGTTCCTCAAAAATGCTTGTGTTCTGAACTTTTACCAGGATTATATGTGATATAAAGAAGTAGTTTTTTTTACATGTGGTTTATCATCCAACTCTGACTTAGAGAATAGAGTGTGATTGTGTGATATTGAACTTGTTATATAAGTAGTGATGCACCAGTCAGTCACAGCCAGTGATTGAAATTTGCCATTTTTCCCTAATTGTCTCTGGTCAGTAGTTTATGTAGTGCAAACTAGAAAAAAATGAATCAAAATGTAAACAAACCCCCCCAAAAAATCAAAGCTCAATTCCTTTCATTTTCTGTTGGATTCAAAGCTACTGGCTGTAATAAATATGTGTTTGACACATTTACCCATTCATTAAAAAAAAACAAACAAAAAAAACAAAAACAAAAAAAAACGTTTTATATGCTATATGCTAAAGTGGTTACAAAGAAAACAGGACGTGACCCAGACCAGGAGCTGAAAACCAGTACAGGCCAGTGAAAGCCTGACTGGTGCATCTCCACTCATCTGTAGCATCAAGCTGCCTTGAAATCAAAATGAATGTCGACTGTATTGTTACTTAAATCTAATTTTGTTAAGTGTTTGGAATGTTGCAACAGTTTTTGCTTTCTGTAGGCAAAACTTTGTACTGAATTTAAATGTTGACACTGCCATATTATTATGAGAAGGCATTCACCTCAGCTTCCAGTGCTGTCTCATGTCTTACATGTAAATGGTTTTATTTTAATAAAAAACGGCCGTCTTTAAGGTGTGCTACTTTGCCACCATCACCTGAATAAGCTTATGAGGGTAGTGAAAGCCAGAACTGTAGAAAATTGTTTAATTTAATAAAGCATATCTGGTGGTGAGTGTTAAGTTTGGTTTTGAAAGTCTTTTTTTATTATTTTGGCCTGATCAAACTGGTTAATCCACAATAGTTTAAACTTTTTTTAAACGTCAAAGTTTTGTGATCACAAGTCAGGAAAACATCAGACCTGAAATTCAAATATCAAACAAATAATGTCATATTACGCCATGCAGACGCTCTATCTGCACCAATGAAAGTTTGCATGCCGCTTCTTTGACGTGACTCCAACAGAAGTGTAGGCCAACCTATTTTCTAAATAATTCATTTTATAACCTCTTTACCTCTGAGGAACTTTAGGACTGAACTTCCACAACAGTTAATCTGAAGCATTAAAATGAAACCGGTTCTTTAATGTTTTCTGTAAAAAGCAAATACGTAAGTTGGCTCAATACACTATGAAATATGTAGGTCATTAAGAAGCTTTTTCTTCAGAACCTTCATTTCTGCTGGCCAGTCAGTTTGTCAGCATGTAACACCTCCCAGCCCAACAGGGGCTGTCACTGGGAGACAGGAAGACATGTTCCTTTTATAAAAGAAAAAGCTGGAATCCTCAGCAATAAGATGATTCTGCTGGCAACAAATTTGTGACAAATTAGAAAGAAAATCACCAACGCAGACTTGTCAGCTCTCTCAGTTTTCAGTCGTCTTTAGGACAGAAGAGGATGGAACTAAAAGCAGGTGTTCTTGCTGTAAACTTTAGGTATCGTCAGCGTTGCCGCTGTGAAACTGAATTACGATCACTACAAAATGATAGGAACATTAAATATTAAAAAATGAAACCCTGAGAGGTGCATTCCAAAGAAGCATAGACCACAGATAAAACTTTAAAATATTTACTTAAACTGGATGATTTACTCCTTTGCAGGTTCAAAATCAATTACAGTTAAAGTTAGCATAAAATATCCACCGTGAACAGATCATTTCAACCATATTCAGATGCTTGATCCTCTCCCTCCACAAAGTCCCGGTAACAGTAAAATGACTAGCAGGGGATTTTTCTGGGCCAAATATCTGTTTTGTTGTTGTTGTTTTTTAACCAAGTTAAATGCGATGTAAACTAACCTGAAGGTGACAAATGTGAAAAATCGTGTTAAAAGCATCTTTTCTTGTTAAAATGTGTTATCCTCCTGGATTTCAGTTCATTATTTTCACTCAGTTGCATTAACTGAGCACCACCATGAACTGAAACGGTTCAGGAGGGAATCCCGAACATTCTTCTCTCCACTTACTCCCTCCGAGGAATCCCTCAGTGTTTCCAAGTTAAAACACACACACACACATGCACAGTTCCTCTAACACATTCAGGTCTGCCTCCTCCAAGTTGTGTAACTTTCAGACTTTTCAAGTCTTATGATAACCAAACCTCACAATGTACATCACAGAACATTTTAATAGAATATAAAAACAACACAAACACACCAGAAGACATTTAAACACCCGGCTGAGTCTGTTTGAATCTGAGTGAGACATTTAATTTGCCGAGTTTAACTGAAATACTGTCAGTATGTCATGGTTGACATTATGGGATGTTGATTGGACCGTTGCCATGCTACAGTCACTGACGTTTTTTAATACAAATGATTGCAATTTGGTAGTTTATGGAGAGCTGTTTCATTCAAAATTAAATAAATAAATACTGTTATTAAATCATTAATAAATATTCCATTAGCTAAATATCATCATTAATTTTTTTAATAGGTAGCTTATTTTATTATTATGTGTGTATTTATTTCAAGATATATGAATTTTGGGTTTTACTTATTTATCATAGCGGGTTTTTTGTGATGGTTTTATTTTATAAAGCTACTTAATGTATTTCCTGGACTTTTATTTCAGGCTCTTTTTATCAATTGCTCGTATTTTCAAATTAGGAGGTGAAGTTTTCTCTGTTCACAGTGACTTCACATAAAGTATCACAGAATAAAACACAATTATGAAATAAATAAAACTGCGATTGACAAAAAAGCTCCCGATTAAAAATATGTATTCTTTAAAAAAATTGATTGTGTTTTTGCTCCATGAGGACATTTATTTCTTTGATGGAATACTTATTAATTGTTCATTAATTGTTTAATTTTGAATGAAACAACTCCTCATATTACAGAGGAAATTTACTTTTATTTTGTCTAATTTAAGACCCGACAACAAAAACACTGACATTTATAAACTTAATTATTTGCTGCTTGTCTTAATATCAATGTGGGGCAATAATGAGAACAGACACTGTCGACTGACTTTCACAAACAAGATGGAGGCTTTCTATTTATAATTTGTCAAAACTATCAGGCAAAGTAAAATCTTCTTACAATTAAAAATGTTGGCAGCAACAGCAATTATTTGTCTTTATATAACCAGGCTGTTTGATTTTTTTCACCTCTATCCTATGAATTTTACTCAAAAGCAAACCTGCTGCATTGAAATTGGTTGTTAATGACACCAATGCATAATTGTGAGTTTGTGCAATTTTTTTTTTTTTTTTTTTTTTTTTTTTAAAAAAGGTCAAAAAAATTGGGTTTTACGGGTTTTAACCCCCCCCCGCGGGGGGAGGTTTTTTTTTTTTT